AATGATTTTCACACGTATCTGTGAGATGTGCCAATACTTATCTGAAAATTCTGAGATTTGAAATATGTTACAGTAAAAAACAATTGGTTAATGAGCAATAATTGACAGTGATAACTATAGAATTAAAATGATAACAATACGAACAATAACTTATCAGATCAACTTACCTGTCCATCATTTTTTTTTTTTTTTCCATCTTCATTTAGGTACTTTCCACTACTCTACCATGTTCTGTTGAATAAAAGACATAAAATGATTGTAATACAGTACATTGCAAATTATAAAAAGGACAATAAATTTTTAAGAAGGTGGCTTTCTAGTCAAAACAGCAATAAACCAAAATGGCAGTAAGTCAAAACGGCAACACTTTTTTTACCAGAACGGCAATGGATCAAAATGGCAATAAGTCCAAACGGCAATAAACCAAAATAATAATAATAATAACAATAATAATATTATTATTATTATAGTAATACTAATAGGCCTAATATTATAACAACATACATACGAAGAAATTCAATAATAAAATGGGGAAACATTATCAAAGCAGCAGACATTCAAATAAATAAAACTTTAAAAAACATTGGACAAAATATGAGACAAAACAATTTATGTACAGTAATTAAAAGTAAAAAAAATCGAAAAAATATAAATAATAATAATAATTGGCAGGGCCTAGGCCTATGCCCTAGCCTAACCTAGTAGTAGTAGAGTAGGTAGCTAGGGCCTAGGCCCTCCCAAGCATATAGGGCTATGGCCCTAAAAACTAGTACTCCTACTACTACTACTACTAGGCTAGGCCTCCTAGGCCGACAGACAGACTGAGACAGACAGCAGTAGGCCTAGGGAGGCCTAAATTAGCTATGCCTGGCCTAGGCTAGGCCTATATTAGTAGTAACTACGCATGATAGGGTAGGCTCAGTCTCAGTCTGCCCTGGCTTTTTATTATTTTTTTATTACATTAGTATGGTTGTATAGTATTCTTATCTTACCTTTTTCTATCGAACTCTGCATCATCAGCTGCTGCACCGCCATCCTACTAGCCTAGTAGGTAGGCCTAGGCCTAGCAGCCACTGGTTTGGCCTAGCTTAGCTAGCTAGGCCTATGCTACGGCTTCGGCTAGAGGCTGTATGAAACGTTCAATCAATCAAGTTGTGTTGAATATTGAGTCTTGCATCAATGAATTATCCTTGATTTGTAGTTATCAGTAAGTAAACCTGCTATTATTGTTGTATTTTGTACCTTAAAATCACACACATTTGTCAAATATTGGTAGAAGCTCCACTGGTACACACAATGAATTTGAATGTGGATCATAAGTTTCCATTGGTCAGTTTCGTAAGGTTAAGGCCTGGCCAATGACGGCAGGGCATATACAGTACAGGTATAATGATGTCAATCACTTCGCCGGGTGTGGGGAGGGGAACCCGGAATGCCATATTACTACCACATGGAGGATGATATCAATGACAATACAAATAATTAAATATATGAATGAATAATTAATTAATTCATGAGGCCTAAAACCATGATAGTCAACATAATTACAGTATATCAATCAGGTGAATAAACAATCGTCTTAGAGCATTCAAAGTTGGTGAAATTAAAAGAAAAGGAGTAAAGATGATAGTTGAAGGGAAAGTATATATGTCTGCATTGGCAAATAATTATGAATATGACTTAATATACAGTAGCACGTCACTGATGATTATGCATACAAGTTTAATTTGAAACAAAATAACTAATTGTATATAAAAATATACAGTATTATACTGTAAGGCAATGAACATAAAGTAAACTACAGTACTATAAGGTTTATTTATGTATAACCTGGATATGTCCATAATTTTAAACATTTTAATATGTATAACTACGGTATATAAAATTTAATTGCAAAACAATAATTTGTATATATTAATTTTTATACAGTTCATAATACAGTTCAACTAATTGTTTGAAGTCGAATGCATAATTCCATTGTTCGACATAGATAAACAACATGTAAAGTAATTTGGCATAATAAGATAGACTGGGGCAAGTTCAACTGTATACAGATTTTTTTAAATTATTTTAATTGACAAAATTGTAACAAATTATTTGTAAATAAATGCAACAAAGAGCAAATATACAACCATGTTTACAATTGCAAAATACAAACCTGTACAGCGTTTATTATGTTAATAAAGAATAAATGGCATTTTATTTTGGCTCTCTGGTTATTAGTTTTATTGTTCTAAAATATTTAAACCTTGGAGAAAAATGCCTATAGGTTCCTATAGGCCGCCTATAGGTTCCTATAGGCCGCCTATAGGTTCCTATAGGCCGACTATAGGTTCCTATAGGCCGCCTATAGGTTCCTATAGGCCGCCTATAGGTTCCTATAGGCCGCCTATAGGATCCTATAGGCCGCCTATAGCATCCTATAGGCCGCCTATAGGATCCTATAGGCCGCCTATTGGATCCTATAAGATCCTAAAGGATCCTATAGGACATTTTTATTAGGGGGTCGTTTGTTGTTTTATGGGTTTATCCCATTTGCCTATAAATGTATATATATATAGGACTACATTTGTTGAAAGCTATGTATATATATACAGGACTACATTCGTTGAGAGCTATGCTACATGATGTATTATTATGTCCTT